GCTGTAATGGGAAATCATGGCTGGGTGTTCTGCTAGTTTCAAAGATTATGCTGCATATGTGGGTGTGCCCAGTCGTGTCTGATTCATTGCGACCCGTGGACTGTAGCCCGCCAGGCTCCTCTGTCCGTGGGATTTCCCAGGTGAGAAAAACTACAGTGGGTGGCCCTTTACCCAACAAAAATTCATGTGTTTGTGCACAGAAATATGTTCCTAGGATGTACATAGCCAAACCATTTGTGATAGTCCCAAGTTGAAAGCGACCAAAAATGCTTTTGAAGAGTGAAATGGGTACACTTACCATGTGAGGTGCATTTGTCCAGTGAAATATTTCACAGCAGTGAGACTGAGCAAATGATGACTATTTGCAAGAATGTGGGTAAATCTCAAAACTATGATGTTTGAGAAAAACAAATCCAGTCAGAAAAATACTTACTGTATAATTCCATTTTTATGTTTTAGAATTGCAATTCCATGTTTATAAAGTATAAACAACACAAAAAATCTCCTGTGATCTTTCAGGTCAAGGAAAGTCAGTATATTTAGTGAAGATCATAACTGGGGTCTTATTAATAAACTAACTTTTGATCCAGGTGTTAGTTACATGGGTGAGGTTAGTTACATGGGTGAGGTTAGTCTGTGAAAATTCTGAGCTGCTCACTTATCATATATGCGCTGCTCTCTAGACTGTACAAAGAGAGGCAAGCTATGCCTCCTACTATATAGAGAACAGGGTGAAGGGGGTCAAGAGTTGGGTGGTTCCCGTTTTTACCCATTTATTTTGACTTCTTTCTGGGAGATGTGCTTGATGTACAACATACAGTTTATGCTATGGTGTGGTTTCTCAGCCAGGCGCTGTTGTGCTGCGTAATCCTTGTTGGTGACTGTGATGGGGGCTGATGTGCATTGTGGGATATTCAGAAGCATCTCTGACATCCATGCATAGAGGCCAGGAGTCACCACATCTCCAGGCCTAATGGTCAAGTATGTCGCCTTACATCGCGAGATATTCCCTGGGGAGTAAATTCTCCCTTAGCTCAGAGCCACTTAACTGTGGTGACAACAATCTCTGATGTTTATCGAGTGCTTACTTCAGCAGGGAGAGGTAAGGGGTTAACAGGGACTTCCCAGGTGGCGCTAGTGGTAAAGAATCCGCCTACCGATGCAGGAGACACAAGAGACACAGGTTTGATCCCTGGGTTGGGAAGATCCCTTGGACAGAGAAATGACAACCCACTCCAGTATTCTTGCCTGGAAAATCCCATGGACAGGGGAGCCTAGCAGGCTACCGTCTGTGGGGTCGCAAAGTCTTGACTGAGCGCGTGCACACACACACACACACACACGCACATACACACGCATGCACACACACACACACATGCATGCACACACACACACAAGGGGTTTACAATCATTAACTCATTTATTCTACCAGCATCTCTAAGAAGATGCTGTAATTTTCCTTTTTTTTCAGCAGAGGAAACAGGTTAGACACTCTAGGCATCTTTCCCAAGGCATCATAACCAGCTAACAGGTGACCACGTTGGGATTTCTGCCCAGACAGTCCACCTTTAGGGTGAGTGCTCTCGGCCACCCTGTCTGGTGGCCTCTTGACGCTACAACTAACTCATGATTGATGTTGCACAGATCACGCTCAGATCGGCAGGGAGCTGCCAGAATCTCACCGTTCCCATAGTGATGCGTTTTCAGGCCTTTCCGTTCTTTAAAGTTACACAAAGTTAGGATTCATATTTTTTAAAAAGTACTACGAGAGTCAAGCTTTAATAACCAAAGTAACAGTGTGACTCATGAGTTACACCTTCATAAAACTTCAAGAGCTCACAGAGACCAATGTGATTATGGGACAAATTATTTCATTTATTTAAACAGAGGGGAAATATACTTATATTTTACAATTGCCTTGAGTTATATATAAAACTAGCTTCTGGCCCTTTAATTACAGACAAAGGCAGAACCGCTGGGAGAGACTCATGCAGAAGTGCCATCCACACCTGGAAAGGCATTTCTGCAGGCTCCAGATTCAGTGGAAAGTTCCCCCATTTGAAGCCCATTCCAATCCCTCCCCAACATGAGCTTCTTTAAGAAGTATTTTTTCTCTGTTGCCAGCTAAATATGATCATCATGAATTCAAGAGACTCAGATACCAAAAAACTTGCTTTAAATAAGCAATATAAGCAGAATCGTGCTCAGGTTCAGTCTCTAAGTCATGTCCAACTCTCTGTACCCCCGTGGACTGCAGCCCGCCAGGCTCCTCTGTCCATGGGATTTTCCAGGCAAGAACACTGCAGTGGGTTGCATTGCCTTCTCCGGGGGATCTTCTCGACCCAGGGAAGATCTTGTCTCCTGCGTTGGCAAGTAAACTCTGTACCGCTGAGCCACCCTGGGAGCTCATAAGTAGAATAACCAAGAAGTAATATTGCTTCATTCTTATATTTGTCACAGACTCACTCCATCTGGGGAAATCTGGTTATGCTTCCACTTACCCTGCCTCAGAGGTCAGCCTGTGAGCCCCTGAGTCAGGAGAGCTGCTCTTCTGCCTCAATTGCAGTTCTCTTCTTCTGTGCCATCTTCTCTGAGCAGGTGAATTTCGCTTGAAATGTTGAAAAGTTGGTTGTCTTTGAATTGAAATGTATATTCAAATAGAAATGTTGCTATAAATGCTCTTTAGATTCTCAGGCCACCCAAAGCCACAAAAGAGAAGAGCAAGAGAAGGGAACATGCCGTGAAACACAGGCATAATAGTAAGCACATGTGTCTGTCGGTGCTACCTGCAAAGACACACATGTAGCAGGCACACGCGCATATTTATGTATCCTTGTTTTCATTAGACCCTATCATTTAAAGAATTTTGAAAGCTATAAGTCTGGAAAATTATGTTTTAAAGCTTTTATCTGTGCAGCTTTTAAAGTTGTTAACACTCTTTTTATTTTTTAATTTTTTTATTGAGAAATAATTGACAAATATCGCTGTATATATTTAAAGTGTACAGTGTGATAATCTGATACACATTATGGAAAGATTGCAAAGATCAAAATTATTAATGTGTCCATCACCTCACATAGTTCTTTTTATTTTATTTCATTTTTTTGCATTTTTTGTTGGTATTCTTTTATTTGTACAAGTTTAAATTCACCATTGAGGAAATATTTACCTTGGTGTTAGAAAAGATGCTATAAAGATATTTTTGAATAAGTCCTGGTAAAGCAATAGTTATGCTCAAAGGGAGAGACTGGAAACAACTGGAAGTTAAACTTTGTCTGATACTGTAAAGTTTGTCTTTCTTGGAGGTGAACTTAAAACTCTGCGGGCATGTCATTTTAGGAACTTTTGTTTCTTACCGGGAGAAGAGGCACGGTGGGGGGTGCTTCCTTTCGAGGTGAGCCTTTTGACAGGGCTCTGGTTCAGAGGAGCAGTTGTCAAAGTGGGGGCCTCAGAGCAGCATCTTTACATCCTCTGGAAACTTAGTCTCTCAGTATCCTGGGCCTCGGTCCAGCATTTTCAGATGTCTAAGGATGAGCACATGCAATGGAGCTTCAGAAGAGCTGCACAGAGAATCTTCTGTGTGGTGGAGACTTGCCAATGGAGCCCAGCAACTGTCTTACCTAGGATCGTGTTAAGACTTTTTGTTTCTTTTGATTTTACTTTGTTTATATGTTTTCCATGTCCTGATACTTCTTATGCCTTCAGCCCAGTGGAGAGTTAAGGGCTGGGCAAGTGAGTTGGGGTGCGGAGGCTGTCCACTATTGGAAAAAACAGGTGCTTTTAGTGAACATTGTTGATTCTGTTGTAACATCCATTTTCACTTTCTAACAGTTCCCAGACTCATCTTTGTTTACTTTTCTTCAACATAGTTAGTGCATTCTGGGTGAAACGGAGCCTGTCCCAGCTTAAGGGGTTGGGGGGCTCATTGGCTCAGCCTAGCAGGATATATTATTACTTCATTATATCTATTGGTTCAAAGTTGGGTATTATCTTAGTGAGTCTGGGCTTCTATAACAGAATACCATAGACTGGGTGGCTTAAAAAACAACAGAAATTAATTTCTCACGGTTCCAGAGGGCAGAAAGTCTGAGATCAAGACAACAGCATGTTTGATATCTGGTGAGAGCCTGCTTTGTGGTTCACTGATAGTCTTCGTGCTGTATCTTCAACATGGCAGAAGTTGGGGGGAGCTCTCCAGGGTATCTTCTTTAAGGGCACCAATCCCATTCATGAAAGCCCCACCCTCATGACCTCATCACCCCCAAAGGCACCACCTCCAAGTACCATTACAGTGGGAATTAGGTTTCCACATACAAGTTCTGTGGGGACAGGCACATTCATTCTGGAGCAGGTATGTGACTGAAGCCAAGCCATCAGGTCAAATCTTTGTACTGTCCTTTGGAATGCTGGGTCACATATTCTCTCTCCTTTTTAAAAAGAATGAGGAAGCATGTGGTATTATTGTTACTGGCTGAATTGCATGGCCGCGGTGTCAAGGGGAGTGGGCAGGGAGGAGAGTCAGACATAGCATGAATCTGACACCCGAGGACAGAGGAAGACAGAAGAAATATGAACTTGATTCTGGTCCATCAGCCCTGAAACCCTCCCTCGAGATGGACTTTCTGTTACGGAAGCCGATAAATCCCCTTTGCTGTGTGTGAGATGAATTTCCTGTGACTTGCAGCATGAGCAGTCTTAAGAGATACAGTTTTATAGCAGCAGTGGCATTGCCATGATTGGGGCCATGCTTGAAATTCCAAGAGGAAACCCAGCTGCCTGGCTCCATGGAGCCGGATGGCAGATTTGTGGGCTGCATAAGCATTTTTCAGAGGGATTATCAAGAACCTTCGGGGAGAGGGCCACTCAGTAAAAGACAAATTCCTGTGCTTGGGCAGAAAGAAAATCCAGATTTTAAAAGAGAAAAAACTTACTGGAAGGGTGTGTGATCTTTCAAAACTGGAGATATCTGGAAAAGTTGGGTCATATAATATGTGTGTTACCTTGATTGTGGAGTACTTGGCACATGCAACGGAATGAATCAGGCTTAAACTCATCTCATCTCCCAGATCCCCATGCCCCATTACAGCTTTAGCAACCCTGGAAAGAGGAGTGTTAGTGAGATTAACTAGTCCCTGCTGCTGCCGCAGGTCCCACGGCAGTAACCGATACCCATCGTCTCTTTCCTGCATTACCTCCTCTAGGCATCTCTCCCTCTTCCTTGCATTTCTGCTGGTCTGGGGGGAAGCTTGCATCGTGGGGTGACCAGAATCTCATCCTCGAGGCTCTGAGTCTGGCGTTTGTAGGTGCATCTGTGTGTGCTCAGGCATGTCTGACTCTTTGCGACCCCATGGACTATAGCTCACCAGACTCCACTGTCCTTGGGATTTTCCAGGCACGCATACTGCAGTGGGTTGCTATTTCCTCTTCTCCAGGGAATCTTCCTGACCCAGGGATTGAACCCACATCTCCTGCATTGACAGGCAGATTCTTTACCATTGAGCCACCAGGGAAGCCCGTTGTTTGTAGATGCTTCACCATTTACAGTTAAAACTAGACATGAGAATACCACGAGATGTCCAGTGGTAAATATATTCTTCCCTGACTGTGTCTCATAGCAATGGTTCAACCTCCTCCTGGGAATGACTCTCTGTGCCTGCATTTACTGCTGTGAAGATCCCCAAATTATATGTGACAGCATTAGCTTAAATTTAGTGGAATTTTTACTGGGTTTCCTGCCGAGAATAGCTGCTCTGAAAACCAGGATGTCTAGATCATAGAGCCTGAAGTTGCAGGGGAGGGAGACATGCATTGTCCACATGAGTCACCAGGTGTGAGTAAGAATGGATACAGCCCTACCTCTGCCTTTGATTCCAAAACCCACGAGGACAGCACCAACTCCGTGCTGGTTTAGGACGTATGCTGCGCCCAGAAGGACAGTGCCCCATCTTCACAGGGAGTCTCCTCCAACCTGGTGCTGGGGCGAACCTTCGAGAGGCCATGCTGTTTGACGCAGCCGCTTCTGGATGGTATGGCATACAGTAGGAAGAGTGCATTCCATGGTCACGCGCCCTCTGCCACACCTTTCTTTTTGCTACACAGCAGGCCCTTTGTCAGATGTGATGTGGTGTGGGATTCCCATGGCAGTTGACCAGATACTCTAAGAGACCTGGGAGTGCAATGGCTGCTGAGCCACAGAGGGTGAGAAACACACATGTGTCCAAAATACACACCCTCTTTCCGAGATGCGCCGGATGGCCGGCTGATACACAGGAGGAATTTGACTCAGGCAGGGGTGGGGTGGTGGACAATGGCCTTGGTCTCTGTCGCTAGCAGGCCAGGCATCCACCAGCGGCAACCGAGGTGGAGACGCCTCTATGCCTGGCCTCCAGCTCCGCCATTGGAGAGGCTCTGTACTCGATCCTGTTGCCGGAGCACTGGTTGTCTCAGGGCATCGAGGCTGGCTGGCACCCACTGGGTGGATCATTCCGTACCCTGGTTCTGTCTTCCCTGCGGTGGACATTGTTCTTCACTCATTGTGAATATGAGCTACAAAGGTCCTCACTCTTCGTGTTCAGCCCCATTCACGCCTCTTCCCCAACACTGCTGTCCCCAGGCCTACAGGGCCCCCTCCAGTCAAGCCAAGACATGTCCCATTGCCCATGAGTCTGTGTGTCTTCTTGAGGCTGTTTTTTCCTGTTCACAAAAAGTATGGGTAACCAGGGGCACTGGCCAAAGTCCTGCCCACTGGGTGGGCTTTCCCTTCACTGCCGCGGGGTCGCCGTTAAAGGAGATACTTTAGGGCCTCCCCTGAGGGCTGTGGTCCACGGAACTGGCACCTACATACTCAGCCTGTCCTTCTGCTCTTGTTCATGGCTGTGATTTCATTGACAGAGATTCGTCTTTTTATGAGCTGGGCAATATAGGCTGTGAGCTCATTGGTAGATCTGAATCCGTGCGACATCGGAAGGCCTGAGTCGCATAGGTTTTATTCAGATGAGACTTGCTCTCCTTGGTGTCCAGGAGTCTTTGCTGAACTGGAGTAGCAGCCCATCACCAGAGTTCTGGATTCACTTTCTTCCTTTCTGTAATTGGTTCCACTGCAGTGTTCCAGTCCACACTATTGTGGACTGTGAGGATCCCTCAGAAAACCCTCATTACCATCAGCCATGAAATTAAAAGACGCTTAGTCCTTGGAAAGAAAGTTATGGCCAACCCAGATAGCATATTAAAAAGCAGAGACATTACTTTGCCAACAAAGGTCCATCTAGTCAAGGCTATGGTTTTTCCAGTGGTCATGTATGGATGTGAGAGTTGGACTGTGAAGAAAGCTGAGCCCCGAAAAATTGATGCTTTTGAACTGTGGTGTTGGAGAAGACTCTTGAGAGTCCCTTGGACTGCAAGGAGGTCCAACCAGTCCATCCTGAAGGAGATCAGTCCTGGGTGTTCATTGGAAGGACTAATGCTGAAGCTGAAACTCCAATACTTTGGCCACCTGATGTGAAGAGTTGACTCATTGGAAAAGACCCTCATGCTGGGAGGGATTGGGGGCAGGAGGAGAAGGAGACGACAGAGGATGAGATGGCTGGATGGCATCACCGACTCGATAGGCATGAGTTTGAGTAAACTCCGGGAGTTGGTGATGGACAGGGAGGCCTGGAGTGCTACGATTCATGGGTTTGCAAAGAGTCGGACACGACTGAGTGACTGCACTGAACTGAACTGAACCATGACAGAAGAAGGAATGAAGCTGAATTTCTAGAGCATCAATGACCTTTAATAGAAGGGAGATTTTTTTTCATGAACTTAAATCACAGATTCTGATGTCTGAAACAGTCACTGATTTCAATGTATTGCTAGTCCACACTGTATGCTTTCTGTAAATTTTCTCATTTAATCCTAACAAAACTCCCATGAAGTAACTGTCGTTGCCACCTCTGACTCCAGATGAGAAAATGGGGACACAGAGACTTTACATAGCTGGCTAAATATCACACAGGTAGAAAATCAAAACATAAACCTGGACTTTAATCTCAGATATGCTGACTTCGGAGCCCAGGCCAAGCCACTGTGCCCCCCTGGTTTCCACAGCATTAGAACCTGAACAGATGTTCTGGGAAAGACACCAGAGCCTTAATACCCTTGACTGAAGGTGATATTATTATACTCTGCATTTAAGCAGGCTCCCCTGGTGGCTCAGACAGTAAAGAATCTGCCCGTAATGTGGGAGACCTGGGTTTGATCCCTGGCCCAGGAAGTTCTCCTGGAGAAGGGAATGTCTACCCGCGCCCGTATTCTTGCCTGGAGAATTCCATGGACAGAGGAGCCTGGCGGGCTACAGTCCTTAGGTTCACAATGAGTCGGACACGACTGAGTCACTAACACTTTCACTTTTCATGCATTTAGCCTAATATTTGAACTTCTGTAGAGAGTTCACTGCAACCCTTTATCCACTGCTCCTGGCACTTTCCCAGGGGGCTTATTTTGGTATTTGAATTCTGAGGTCGTTTTTCAACAGCAAACCTATTATTAATGTGAAGTGTCCTTAACTGTGTCCTGTTTCTATCGTTTATCTTGTATTCTTTACTGCAACCCACTTAAAAAATATGGTATTCATACATATTTCAAATTTTAAAAATAGCTACAAAAAAAGAAACGTGTGAGGTGAAGAAAACAAACTAATTTAAACATGGCTTCTCAGATGACAAGTTGCTAATACTACATTCAAAAGAATCATCTCGGACATGACATCTCCTCTGAGGAAACAGCCTGGAGAACTCTTTTGCCCTGTTCTGAAATCATCAAGAACTCGGTGCTGGGAAATGCTCTAATCTCTCTCCACTAGGTTGGTATATCAGTTTTAATTGATAGCCTGTGCCAAAAAAGGTTTTTGGCACCATTTCACCCTCACTCTTTGCCAAGAAACCGCTCCATGGTGGATAACAATAAAAGGAGGTGGTTTACAATATAAAGTTCAGTATGAAAGGAAAGTTAATAAGAAGTAAAATACATTGAGTACACTTGGCTGAAGGAGCAGAGTGTCAAGCTACAGGAAGTCTTCTGCAGCGATTTTATAACGTCTGTGGTCTGGAGTAAAACTGCTCATGAAGTGTCTCCTGCAGGCCCACCTTCCCCCTCCACCTCCAAGAGGACACGTGCGTTTGCATTTCTTCCCACACAGTTTGATTCCTTGACTGGTGTTTGTATTCTACACTGTGAGCTTTCAACATGGTTTTATAGGACGGATGGACAGCTGGGGGCCAGGTGAATGAAACAACGCAAACAATTGTTAGGCCACCACGACTTAACAAAAAGAAAGCAACACACCCACAAGAGTAACCAGGCCTAGACCCAGGGCAGATGCTGGTCAGCCACAAGTACCCTGCCCACAACACCACCCCCTGCAAAAAAAGGAGGAAGGAACTTGCCCAGAAATCAGTCATTTACAGTGGCAAGGCTGCCTTCATTAAGTTTAGCTTACATTTGAGTTGGAAAACTACTGCAGTGTAAAAAATGATGCATATATACATGAATGTGTGTTGTGTATATGTGTGTGTGTATATATATATATGTGGAAACTGTCACAAAAGGATCCCCAAAAATCTAGAAAATGAAATGGCTGCAGTTCCAGAAATGTGCTCGCGTTTCCACACTGAATAGCCCCAATTCATACACACTTACATGTCGCGCACACACTCACATGAAATGGAATAAACCATATACAGAGGAGAAATTTATCAGCTACTTAACTTTCTGTTTTAGCAATCCAAGGTGTGACATAAACAACTTTGAGGGAACATTCGATGTTTGACTTGTGACCCTTTAAGCAAAAGTAGTTTTAAGTTTTTCAGATACAGGGAAATTAGTCTTAAAGGCAGCAGAGGTTTTGTTTTAGAGGGGTTTTTTTTTTTTTTTTCTTTTTTGGTCTTTTGTTTCTTCTTAAAGAAATCAGAATAAGCATGACTGAACAAAGAATAAACTTCAAAGTCTTACTCTTTGGTAGGAAGTGATTTCGAGCAAAAATCATAAACTTGAGTCAATGAGACCTTTGTTAGAAATGACTACGAGCGCCTCTTCCCCACCTCTTGTCAAAGTCGTTAAAACCAGAGGAGGTTCCTCCACAGGACAAAAGAATGCCTCAGTCAGAGGAAGAGTCTTGTCCTGACAGAGCTTCCCTTTGCCCCGAGCACCGTCCTGGCACTGAGCTGAGAAGTGATTCCGTAATACATCACCAATAAGGAAATGTGGGGCTGCA